TAAACCAAGCACATTTCTGCAGGAAAACCCCACCTCGAAAATAGCGTGGCTCTGCTCGTGGATGAATGAATTGTGTGTGCATTCGTTTGTTGCATTTGTATTGATGCATTAGCATAGGGTAATCATACAACAAACAAAATAGTGAAAAACCCTAAAAACCATAAAAGTGATAAGAATAAACCACTTTATCTTGGACAGTCTTCAGTTAAGCTAGTCTGGTTTCAGAATCTTTGTAAGCTAAGTAGCCACGTTGACCGACAGAAGAGATAAAGGGTCATAAAAAATATAAAAACAAATTAAAGCCATAAAAATACCTCTTACAAAATAAAAAGATTCTTGACAAAAGTCTTATGATTCATACAACATATGTTCATAAAAAATAAGAGAAGAAAATAGGACTCTCTTCATCAAAATCCATAAACATCCATATAGATAGTATTCTTTTTAAGAAAAAACCAAGTACTATCATGTATCATACTAGGAATAAAACATGATAATACTTAGCAAAACAAACACTTGCATGCATGCATTTACAAGGACTCATCCTCATATCATGCATTTTCATTTCTTTTAGATAATGGAGGGATCCAGTAATAGACAATTAAAGAAAGTGGAAATCTTTCTATGTCGTGTAGAGAAGTTAAGGCAATTGTGTACATATATACCGCCAGAGGTCAGTGCTAATTTTGAGAAATCTTATGGAAGGATTCTTGACCTCCTGAAAGTCAGCATCGATCCTATCTTTGTTAGAGCATTGGTCCACTTCTGGAATCCCAATCTACACTGCTTTGAGTTTTCGCAGTTCGATTTAGTACCAACCTTAGAAGAATATGAACTCATGGTTAGATGGCCTCAGTCAGTCGGGGTCTATGTCTGCTCAGGAATATATGTTGTCATGAGTAAGGTTGCTACTATTATACGATTGCCTCCTCATCAATCCATCCTTGAGGGAAAAGGGAACATCCGAGGTTTGAAACTATCAATAATAGAATACCACTTAATCTCTTTGGCTGAAAAGAAAGATTGGTCTACCTTCAACAAAACTCTAAGCATTGGCAATGTTCGGAATCATATTATTCCCATTTCATGTGAACGTTGTGGATCATGCTGCAATAGATGCATTCTTTGCCTGGGATGTATACTCTAAGAGTCCTATACCTGTAATTCTTGCTGATACCCTGCTTTCAGTAGATTTTTGCTGACAGAAACAGGGGAAAACACTTAGATGTTGCACTTCATTACTATATGTATGGGGCATCACTCACTTCTACGCTTCAAGCTACATGGGCATATTCCCTGATCCTTTAAGAAGTTTTGCAAAAATCCCTCTTCAACATCATCAAGCTTTAGAATGGAAAACCGAGTTAGAAAATTGGAACATAGAGCATGTATCATGGGTTCGCCCTTGGTTCCGACTCGGTTATATTCTTGTACGATGCGGAGATTACCTGAGCATACCACTACTAGGCCTCAGGGGTTGTATAGCTTACTCTCCTAAGATAGTTATGAGACAACTCATGAGAACCCAGACTAAGACAACTCATGAGAACCCAGACTGTGTCAACTCAAGAAGAGCTCAGAGGGCTGAGTCTATGCCATTATTCCCATAGTTTTGAAGAAGTATCCGCTGTCCGGAAAGCGTGGGAAAGACCAGTCTATATAGGAGATAAAGAACTTGGAAAGGTTCAGGTGTCTACATCCCGTGAATATGATGAATGGAGGAAAAGTAGAAGGATACCTCAACCATCTGCTACATTCACAACAACATTAGTCAATCAAGAGCTACAATTGCAGGTCAATGCCTTAAATAAAAGGGTAGAAGTAATGGAAGCTCAATTGAGGGCCTTTGAAGAAAAAGAGCAAGAAGCAAACCTTATAATAGATGGTCTAAAAAGGCAATGTAAAAAGAAGGACCATGAAATAGAGTGCCTTAAGAATGATTGTGCTGATTATCAAGAAGAGACTAAACAAGCACTGAAAATTCTGAGGCTTGAACAAGATAGTCTATTCCGGGACATGAATGATGAAATAGCACATCTTGAGAGTGCGCTTGCAGAACAGGAAAAAACGATCAAGTTAATACATGATGACCTAGCAGAAACTCGGTCAGAAGCACAAAAGTGGTGGGAAACCGCTGAAAGATACAGAGAACCTGGATGAGCTACATGACAAAGAAAGAGATGGATTAGCTCAGTATGGTCAATTACTTCGTGAAAGAGACCAAGTAATAGAGAGGTCAGACCAATAGCATGCCTTGATCGTTCATCAAGAAGAAAAGATAAAAGAGGCTCGTCGATATAGTGAAGATATGAGCCAGGCGGTACATGAGCAAATCAAGACGCTCAGAAATCATGTGAGAGTAGCTGAAGACGAATTACGAAGAAAGCCTAATTTACCTATAGGATTCTTCAAGCTTCTTTGTTTTTGTCAACACTTGCTTCAAAGCATTGTATAGAAGGATAAACACTTTCTAGTTAAAATAAAAAGGATTTTCCTTAAATTGTCTATTGCATTCATAAGTTGCATACATTCATACATCCCTCCTCATTTTAATAACAAAGATAATAAAAAGAAGGGATTAATTGATGTGCTTTCCACAAATCAAAGTTAATGGAAAAGAAGCCTTTCGTCATCAAAATCTCTACAACGGTCGATAGATCCAAAGATGATAACAAACAAGCACCATTGGTCATTCCAATCGATAAAAGGGAAGAGGCAATAACGCCTTTACGTTTATTCATGCCTCGTCCTTTCCCTTATTCATCAAACAAAGATGTACCTTGGAGATACTCAGAAGAATCACCAGTTAATCAAAATATCTCCAACATAGCCGATATTGGGGGCACAACTAGAAGCGGAAGAATATACTCCCCCAAGGAATTACAAGATAATATTCCTAAAGATAAGGCAAAAAATAAAGCCGAAGAGGAAAAAGAATCCAAGGAGGAGACAGATGAGTTACTCCAGTACATAAGACAAAGTGAGTACTCCATCATCGATCAACTCAATCACACTCCTGCAAAGATAACCTTGTTATCACTCATAATGAGTTCGAAGCCGCATCGAAACACATTGTTAAAGGTTTTGAATGAATCATTCGTTCCGCATGCAATATCCCAAGACAAGTTTGAAGGAATCATTGGTAATATTACAGCCAATAATCATCTTACCTTCACAAATGAAGAACTCCCTTTAGAAGGGTCAAATCACAATAAGCCCTTACATATTTCTGTCAAATGCAAGGAATATCTCATTTCCAAAGTTCTTGTGGATAATGGGTCATCCTTAAATGTCATGCCTAAAGGCACACTTGACAAGATAACAATGCAAGGAACCCACATGTGCCCGAGTAATACAATTGTTCGAGCCTTTGATGGATCAAGACGTGAAGTAGTAGGAGAGATTAGTCTACCAATTCAAATTGGCCCTACTATCTTTAACATAGACTTCCACGTGATGGATATCACGCCAGCATATAGTTGTCTCCTTGGTAGACCTTGGATTCATAGCGCTAAGGCAATACCTTCAACGCTCCACCAAAAAGTTAAGTTTGTGACCAATGATAAACTTGTCACAGTTCAAGCTGAAGAAGACTTTTTAATTAGCAAACCGTCTGTCCAACTATATGTGGATGCGGCTGAAGAGGCTCTTGAAACATCCTTTCAAGTGCTCGAAATTGCCAACATAGAAAGACTTCCCAGTAATAAAAAGGTGGCCCGTATGATAAAAAAATATGGATATCACCCAGGACAGGGGCTCGGAAAGAATGCTCAAGGAATAAAAGAGCCACCAAATTTCAAAGATAATCCTTTAGTGCCAAACCATACAAAAAGTCAAACCATACGGAAAACAGGGAAGTCTTACCCCTCAAAGACGATATTCCGAAAAGAAGGGGTATTAGCGCAAAGGGTAGCGTTAGTCATTAGGTGTCCTTCTTCCAATTCTAAGGGATGTAAACCTAGTGACTATTAGAGATCACTCCTCGGGGTATGCCCGGCCCCCGAGAATTTCTAGGGCACACATTTCCCCAAAATTACAAAAGAATGTTATTCTTACTATCTGCTTCTTTTCTTGCTAAATATATCTATACCCCATTTTTAATAAACAAGGTTTAGATAGACGTTTTGTTCCAAATGCGTCAGAACAATCAAAGCGTCACAAAGCAAAGTCAAATATGATTGATTAACTAAAAACACGGATAAAATCTATCTCGATAGAATCAAGTTTCGACAATGTTATGCAAAAAAATATATATATATACAAAAAAGGAGAGCCCGTCAAGGCCAAAGGCCAAGGCAAGAAAATAAAAGGGCAAAATACCCGGCAGGAAACCCACAAAAGGGGGCTGCACAAAAGTTAGGGTAAACCCGGCAGGAGACCCGAACAATAATAAAGGGTGGCCTGGGCAAAAGTTAGGGTTACGAAAAGTCCGCTAGGTATTCCTAAAAAATAAATACAAAAAGGGAAACCTAGACAAAAGTAAGGACATAAGCATAACATCCTAGGCTGAAAACCTGAAAGGGCGGGCTAGGAAAGTTAATCAATCACAAAAAGGCGCCACAAATCAGTAAAGTAAAGACGCCACATCATAAGAACAAAAGGTTTACCTAAACTAGCCTAAACACAAACCAACCTTGGCTAGCCATTCTTATAGAAACCTCTATTGAAAAAATATATATCCCTCTAAAACACAAGTCCTTGCTATAAATCCTTTTCTTTCTCTTCTCTTAACCATTTCACTATAAAGCATTCAAGTAATAAGGGGAATGTGGAAATATAGTGATCAATAGGAAGGTTGAAATCCCTAAGGAAAGGAAGGGGGGCATTGATATGGTAGTTGCCCTACGAACAAAAGATTGCTCTTCGGCTATAGCAAGAAAACTCCGAGACGGCAAATCAGGTACAACCAAGCTTGTTAATCAAGAAACATGATGACAGAAAGGTACAACACCAAGAATGCGCCCGAAGTCAAAAGCACATCAGTTAAAACTTTTGAAATATTAATCGAAATAGATCATAGGATGCACATCATGAAACATTACATGCATTAAAACATCAATGAATGGAGTCCTATCCTCCTTCTCATCAAAAAACATGAAAACCAACTTGAAAAGCTTGAGACATTCGTCCCAAGGGTCGAGACGGCCGTCCCAAACAACCAATTTCAAATGGGACGCCCGTCCCAAGTTTGAGACGCCTGTCTCAGGACCAAATTTTCAAGTGAGACGGGCGTCCCACTCCTCAGTTGGCTGTCCCAAAGGAAAATTTTCAAGTGAGACGGTTGTCCCAACCCCAGATGGCCGTCCCAACTCTCCTGGCTCCTCCTATATATGTTAGGTGCGGATTCTTGCCTTGGTACCCCATTCCAAGCATTCTATCTTGCTTCTCCTCCCTTTCTACACACTTCTAGCATCCTTAAGTGAGTAAGATATACAATGGAACGTGGAGAGGCTTCATCCAGGAGAAAACGCACCAGGACCTCCACTAGAGGAACTCCTGTCACCAACACTCTGCTGGCAGAACCACATCAACAATGGTTGGCAAATATCCAACAATACTCCTGGCATCCCATGATTCTTTTGGATTTTGAAATCCTAACCACAGTCGACTTGGATCAAGATGTTAGAAGGTTCATCCAAAACATAGGATGGGATTTTCTACTTCATGAGCCACCTACTCGAATCCACTGTACTACTACGCTGGAATTCCTTGCCTCCGTCAATTTGGTGGAGATGTCGTCCATGACTCCCGGAGTGCCACCTACTCAAGCCGTCTCCTACTAGATGGACGGGGCATACCGAACCACTTTTCTGGATGACTTTAATGTCATAATGGGTTTTTGCCAACGAGCAGACACGAGAACACCAGAATATAGGTCTGCATATCTCGAGAAACCCGCTGCTCTCACTACCACCAACATGTGGAAAGAAATCACTGGAGCACATACCCTGCCGTCACATCTGAAGGGTGCAGCTTTCTCTCCTCCGCTCCACATATGCCATAAATTGCTAGCTGGGACCATACATAGCCGGAAGGAAAGCCAAGGGAAGGTAACGCTGGCTGACCTTTTTATTGTCTATTGTATGCATCAAGGGCATTGATGCAACCCAGGATATGCCTTCCTGAAAGCCATAAAGGATTACGGAACTCGTGGCTCAGCAGGAGCCATCATTGTGGCTCCCTTTCTCACCCCTATAGCTGAATATTGGGGATGCACTAACGGAGAAGACCTCCCAGCTAGCCTCCAACCAGAGCCGATTAACGGAGGAACACTGGTCCACATGAACATCCTTAGTCGACAAGGATCAGGGTTTATTTTAAACCCCATAATCTCGATTTTCGCTGGATATGCGTGATTTCGACACACCACAAGACATCCCTACGACTTCGGAATCCCAGTAGCAATCATACGATCCAGACTTCGCCGGCTTATACCGATGTATAGATGATGAGCACACCTACATGGAAGGGCAGTTCCAGTTCATGCGACAGCAGTTCAGTCAGCTGACCATGAGGCAAGATAGGACCGATCGTCAAATAGAAAATTTGGTCCAGACTCAGGCAAGGTTCCAGCGCCGCATCCCTTCGCCAGCACCATCCTCCCATTCCAGCCCAGAAGCAGATGATTAGGAGGTCTTTAGATATTTTCTAGTAGTTTAAAAATGCTTGAATGTATCACCAAGAAAAAAAGAAGTAATAAATAAAAGTTGTTATTTCTGTTTACATTTCAAAAAGCCCACGTGTACAAAAAATTATAAAATAAAAAGGCACACGTGATATATTAAAAAGCCAAATTTCAAATAACTCGCGATAAAGATCAAAATTGTGAAAGAAAAAGGCTAAATCAGAACTATTTCAGCAGAATAAAGAGCTTCAAGGAAACTAGCTCTAACCTTCTATCCCAATAAACAAAGGTGCACCAGAAAAAGGGCCAACGGAAAGGCTCGATGATCCCCAAATGGATCCTTGCCTACTCCAAAGGCAAAACAAAAATTTTCTTCGCGACTCAACATCACCACATGAGTCATCAAACAGAGTCACTTAAAGATCCGACCACCATCCTTCCATCCAAGAAAGAAGGAAGCCATCAACATAGAAAAGCCAATGGAAAGGCTCGATCATCCTCAAGCGGATCCTTGCCTACTCCAAAGGCAAAACAAAAATTACTTCATGACTCAGCACCACCACATGAGTCGTCCAAAAAGAGTCATTTGAAGCTTCAATCAACATCCTTCCATCCAAGGAAAAGGAAGTCATCAACATGAAAAAGCCAACGGAAAGGCTTAATCATCCCCAAGCAGATCCTTGCTTACTCTAGAGGCAAAACAAAAAGATTACCTCACGACTCAGCTGTATCACCACATGAGTCATCGAGCACACTCATCCAGAATCTCCGCCACTTCCCCAAAGGAGAATAAGGACTACACAAGAGTCCATCAAAGAAAATATGGAGTCAAATCCTCCATATCACTAGGGGTTCAACAAAAAGAGAGAAAAGAAAAACTTTCATTCCCCAATAGAGGCACGAAAAAAGGGCTGAATGAAAATCTCCAAGTAGAGCATATCAGAAAGGTCTACAAAAAGAGAAAAAGAAGAAAATCTCTTCATCCAAGCTCAAATAAGAGCTTCACAAAGTCAGGAGCTCAAGACTCCATCATAAAAAATCAAATCAAAGATTGGATCCCCAGGAAGCAAATAAACTCCCCGGGATCGCCAAAAATAAAAGAGAAAAAATAAATCTCTTCATCCAGCAGATAATAGAAGAAAAAACCAATGTGCATAAAAGGCGCACACATTTAAAAGCCAAATTTTCAAAATCGCGAAATCGCGAGAAAAAGATAAAAACCCATTCCCCAGCAGGAATAAGAGCATAGGCAAAGCCAGCTCAAAACAACAGCATCCAACAAGGAGTCAAAAACTCCATTCCTCCCTAGGGGGCAAGTCAAAATAGATTTCCGGGAGAGCAATCAAATCCCCGATGAATCATCAAAAGGGAAAAACTACCCCAGTGAGCCTACGACAGAGGCAAACTACAAATTCATATCCTTAGGGATTTAATCGCCTATAACACCCAATATGGATATCCCTAATGGAATGCAAAACTTCCACTTCCAATGAAACCTCTGCCTACTCAGAGACGAGCAAAGAGCTAATATCCCCAAGAAATGGGAAATCAACCTACGCAAGAGGCAATATAAGCCCAAAGCATAAAAGTCTTCACCACTGCTGAAGCATTTGCCTAAAAACAAGAGGCACAATTAACAAGAAATCAACAAATCCTCAATGGATTCCTGCCTAAATTAAGAGGCAATCATCAATAAACCCCCGCAAAAACCGGACGGCTAAATAGAAAAGCCCAAAACCACAAATCCCCAGGAGATTCTTGCCTAAAATAAGAGGCAACCAACAAGAAATCACCGGTAAAACCGGATGGCTAAATAAAAAAGCCAAAAAATAAGAATCCCCGGCAGGATCGGATGGCTAAAAAGAAAAGCCAAAAGCAAAGAATCCCCGGCAAGACCGAATGGCTAAAAGAAAAGCCAAAAACAAAGAATCCCCAGTAAGACCGGATGGCTAAAAAGAAAAGCCAAAAGCAAAGAATCCCCGACAAGACTGGATGGCTAAACAAAAAAGCCAAAACAAGAATCCCCGGCAAGACCGGATGGCTAAACAAAAAAGCCAAAACAAGAATCCCCAGCAAGACCGGATGGCTAAAAAGAAAAACCAAAAACAAGGAAATCCACGGTAAAAACGGATGACTAAAACAGAAAAGTCAAAATGAAAAATTAATCACTCCCCATGGAATGAGCGCATGATCAAAGACAGTAAGCCGCCAACACATTTCCAAAAATCGGATGAGGGTTTGTACTCATCAATCAAAAGACTGAATGCCGAAAAAGAGCATCCCAAGAGCCTTATGGAATAGGGTCGTACCAGGTGAGGGTAGGTACTCACCAGAGCCTTATAAAATAGGGTTCGTACCAGGTGGGGGTAGGTACCCACCAGAGCCTTATAGAATAGGGTTCGTACCAGGTGGGAGTAGGTACCCACAAGAGCCTTATAGAATAGGGTTCGTACTAGGTGGGGGTAGGTACCAACAAGAGCCTTATAGAATACGGTTCGTACCAGGTGGGGGTAGGTACCCACAAGAGCCTTATAAAATAGGGTTCGTACTGGGTGAGGGTAGGTACTCACCAGAGCCTTATAGAATAGGGTTCGTACCAAGTGGGGGTAGGTACCCACAAGAGCCTTATAGAATAGGGTTCGTACCAGGTGGGGGTAGGTACCTACAAGAGCCTTATAAAATAGGGTTCGTACCGGGTGAGGGTAGGTACTCACCAGAGCCTTATAGAATAGGGTTCGTACCAGGTGGGGGTAGGTACCCACCAGAGCCTTATAGAATAGGGTTCATATCCACAAAAGCCTTCTAAAATAAGGCTTGTATCGGATGAGGGTAGGTACTCATCAGAATCTAGCAAAATGCAGATTCATACCAGGTGGGGGTAGGTACCCACCAGAGCCCTATAGAATAGGGTTCGTACCAGCAAAAGCCTTATAAAATAAGGTTTGTACCAGATGAGGGTAGGTACTCATCAGAATCTAGCAAAATGCAAATTCGTACCAGGTGGGGGTAGGTACCCACCAAAGCCTTATAAAATAAGGTTTGTACCAGATGAGGGTAGGTACTCATCAGAATCTAGCAAAAATGCAGATTCGTACCAGGTGGCAGTAGGTACCCACCAGAGCCTTATAAAATAAGGTTTGTACCGGACGAGGGTAGGTACTCATCAGAATCTAGCAAAAAATGCAGATTGGCATCAGGTAGAGTAAAATACTCACCAGAGCATTACAAAAAACGGGTTGCGAAAACCTTACTTTTATTAGAGGATAGTTCAGTTGTTGAGCACCTCGGAAGTAAGTACCCACAAAGAACCTTGCAAAACAGGGTTCATACCAGGTGAGGGTAGGTACTCACCAGAGCCTTGCAGAACAAGGTTAAGACTGGGTGGGGGTAGGTACCCACAAGAGCCTTGTGAAATAGGGTTTGCACCAGATGAGGGTAGGTACTCATCAAAAAGCATATTCATACCTAGTGGGGGTAGGTACCCACAAGAGTCTAGTGAAATGCAGACTCATACTTGGTGAGGGTAAGTACTCACCATAGCCTTATAAAAGAAGGCTCAAACCAGATAGGGG